TCTTCTAAAGCAAGAAATAGAAGTGCCTCCTCTTCTTCTGAAGACGAGCTCATTGCAAACGGCAAAAATAAAATGTACGCAACCTGTCGAAACCTTCACGTTCGCGGAGCGAATAAGGCGCTTTGGTATGAATAAACAGGCGAAACAGATTGCGAATTTCGCTCTGAATTTCGTTGCGAATACTTCGCCGCGATTATTTCGCGCCGGTTTGTGGGATGCTTTATTATTTATGAAAAAGCTTGAAAATCATTGTGTCATGGTGGAGATATTTACAATATAAAAAATAATTACTTTTGCTATGTATTTATTCTACAATCAATCCATTGCATTTTCAAAATAAGCAGTGCTAAGAGCACCAAGTAAATACAACCAGATGCAACTCGCTGATGAGTCGTCAAAAGTATCAGGTTTGATTGCGGTGTTTTAACTGTAGGTATGTACATTGAACATGGATTTAATTGAGAATATCGCAGCAGCAAAGAATGCATGGCTAAAGTAAATATTTTTCTGTTTGTTGTAAATACTTCCACAAATACGAATTTATTTAAAATTTTGTTCATAAATAAAAAGTCATCAATGCTTCATCGCTTCTTTTTGAACAAACATATTCCTTCTGATTATTGGTTCACACAAGCTATTCCAGATCATATCAGAATAGTATAATTTTTTCCGATTGCAAATATCTGCTGTCGCTGGCAGGGTACGTGGCAAAATCGGCTGCTGCTGAGTGCTAAAACCTTTCATTGTTTTGACTGGTAGAATTTACATTCGACTTTCTCCGCTGAAATGGTGGCCCTTTTTGACAGTGATGGGGAGTTTCATAGCTAATTGTTATCTAAGCTATTCTATGGTCGTACATTTTTCCGGAAATTGTACTATGTACATAAAATGTCTTATGGGCGTACATCGTATTTTAATCATCGTACATTAGACATACATTATATCCAACAACTACAAACATACGACGTACATAAGATGTACATGTGCTGCTTGGGCCGTATATAATCTGTGCCTCATATTATGTCAAAATCCATCAATAAGCCCTTTAAGCTGTAGCCTATGAAATGGAAATTTTAAAGTTGATATTTTTTTATTAAAATCCCCTATTTTGTTTTTCTAAGATGCCATTATAGTTTGAGCCACTCGCAAGGCTATGACGAATCTGTCCGAATCCACCAAGCCGTTTGTGGTGTAGCCATGCGAAATCGGATGATGAAAATTTGCATCACTAGCATGGTGTTGTGTAGAAGTCTGTAGATTTTTTAGTATTTGCTCCCTCCTACAAAAGTTCGGTACCCACCGCTCTTCAAAAATTGTTAAGGGAAGCTTACACTTTCACAAACAAAAATACTCTTGCCGATGATCGGCGTCCTTGTTCGGGCACCCATACCTGTAGCCCCTGGAATATATTTTATTGATAGATACATATCATTGTATAACGTATTCTACTACTACTGGAGCACATTAATCAATCATATATTTGCATTATTACATATCTAAGCGTGAAAAATATCTCCCCTGTCCACACTCCACACCACACTATAAAAACGAATAACTTTAAAGTTTCTCGAGATTTAGTGCTATTGTCGCCATCTCTGAGGTTTACACTCAAGGTCTACTGGCAAAGGTAAAAGCGCCGGGAAGTTTTCTTTATAACTATGAGTTCAACGACATCACCTTATCAACTTACCTTTGGTAGTACGGTAGTCAGACGTAAGATGGCGGATATATTTCATGCCATAGCGTTTTTGATTTGAAATGATATTCAACTGAAAAATAAATTGTAAGCATATTTACAATGCCAGCAGTGGCTTCTACGAGTAAAATACAATCTCTTATCTTATAACTGGTGTCTTATTATATTTTTTTTTGAAGTACCTACCTTCTTATGGAAAATCAAAATACCTATTTAGATAAGACATCAATATGCTTTTCATTAAGTATTTAAATTTTCTGTCGGTCCTTGCACTTGACAAATCTCTCTTATTTAACACGGAGATACATTGCATCTCAAAATATAGCATCTTTCCACAATTCATTTTAAAAAATATTCGAAACGAAGAGTAAAGATTCGAAATCTGGTATGACATTTTACATCAATAATTGAGGTCTAAAAGCTGGAAGTATGGTTCTGTGGATAATAACATGATATCTTTGATACAATCCACCCTCGCATCTCGACGCAATTCCTTATCTAATCAATTCCAGTAAACGCGTAAACGTAAATCTATACTCTTGCCTTAAGCGCGTGACGTTGCCAGACGTTCAGCCGTAAAAGTAAATATGGGGGAAAACTTTGAAAGTAGCACTCTGCTTTTGTATCTTTGCACACCACTTGCCACGGGTGGTAATCGGTCATGTGGTGGCGAGGTTATAAACAAAATACAAATATTTCTTGAGCTCAGTATTTTAACATTTTCAGGCTTTCTAATGATTTTCTTGCTTAGACAACATATTTTTTTGCGGGACGGTCTTGTTTTGCACCACTCATAATCATGTCACAAAATTCCGCCGATATGACTGTTATGTGTCTGTCAACTAGTCCACTGTATCCCTATCGAGGGCGATAACTGGGAAAGTACCACCATTTTAAATGGAATGTTGAAACAATAGAGATTTTTCGGCGAGATCCCGTAGTGAACCGGAGCGGGAACAGATGGAATTTCCCCTTCCTCTCGAAGTTTTGACAGTTTCAAGTTACACCGGGAGTGGTTAGATGGCGCATGTTGCGCAAAATGTTTGCTTTAAGCTCCTTGATAAACTTAGCTGCATTATTTGAATCTGAAATAAAAAGACCGATCGTTTTTTTGCAATGTATATATATATATATATATATATCAATAAAATCAATCATTTGATATGGCAAGTGCGCTTCATATATCTTCGATGACCTTCTCCCTCGTCATTTAAATTCAGGTGGATCATGGGTGGATGTGTTCCTCCATTTATGATTTAATAATTTAACTCAATTTTCGGTACTGCGAAGACAAATTTTCAATGGAGATGCCTGAAATTGACATAAGACCTGTCACCCGCTAGTACCTCACAGACGTTAGGCGGGTACCCGTACCACGTGATTTTTTGACATTCGGACGACGTCACATCCGTCTTCCCCTATTCCCGTTCTTCGCGAAAATTTGAGTATCGGTATCGGTTCCCGGTAGTGCACTGTGCTACACCGTGGACTCGCGAAAAAATCCTTAATGTTACTGTAATGGCAAAGACGGCTTTATAGATTGTTTTGTGAATTGATCTAGACCCGCTAGAGGTATTCATGGGCGGTCTCAGGACTTTTTCTCAGGGGGGCCGATAATCCGCATGAGAGAACTTTTTGTGAACGTGTACCTGCCCCCAAAACTGTTTGAAGAGCGGAGGTAGCAAATTGTCTCATGAAGTTAGGGGGACGAATCCTAAGATTCCTCAAAATTGTGCAGAGCATGCTTAATATGCACATTTTTTGTTACTTGGTGTCAGATTGAAATTAATGAATGCAACCATGAAGACTAGAGATAGGAGGTTAAACTCCTGTAGTGGGGGTGAAGCCAAAAATGTCGACGATGAAATGAGTAGATACACTCACGCCGCAAATGAATTCCAGGTGCTGCGCGTAGGGAATTTCTCTGGTCTACACACTGCGCAGAAAATGAATTTCAGATTCTGTGCATATGGCATCTCTCTTTGTTGCTGTCATCATGACTGTAAACAACTCTTATTTTGACAGTTCGGGCGAGTTGCAAGCAGAAATATTGGGTAATATTGATAAACCACGAAGTAATAAACCTACAATGTACGGCAAAACGTGTTACGCCATATTCTACGTCCACCAGATTTCCGAGAGCCACACCATGTTCGCGACAGGATAACTTCATACTACAATTCAGTTCATGTATCTCTTACGCAGTTTAACCTCTCTAGTCTCTTCGTGAATGCAACAGACAGTCGAGTTGGTCCATCCAAGTGAAGTAAGTTACAAACCTTTCTTCTTTGTCAAGATTGAAAGTTGTTTTCAAAAAGCATGTCGATTGCTGTAGTGGGTATTCTGGAAGGAGAACTACATGAGGACCTACACTTAAAATTGCTTATTTCTAATCTGTTATTTTCTAAAATGGTCCAAAATATCATTTGTTAAACTGATACAATAAATTTGATAGGGTACAATCTCAAATGACAATATTTACCTAGGTGTTTTTTTGTTTTCATTATTTACCAAAGCAGAAAGATGCTACTTCCCAATAAGGCATTGCGGTCAATAATGGAGTGATTTCTGCGATTATAGTGAAAAAACTTTTTGTAGGCGACGACATTATGAATAAGCTCCAATCTCTCTTTTACATCATTTTTCACCTTTGTAATCACTGTAGGTCGTGATCAAAAATCCTTTGAAGATAAAGCATTCTTAACTAGACAAGTCTCATTTTTTCGAATAAAGAATCCAACTTTTACTGTTTCATCAGTCATTTTGTTGTAAAAAAACATCTAAACCTAGAGAGATACCGAATTTGTATGTCGAAAATGTATTTATGTTGATAGATATATGGGAGGAAAATACTGAGTATGCTTGGGTACTGCTAGAATTTACGCATAGAATTTTTGTGTAGATAATTGTTCTTGTGACTTCTTCAATGTTTCACAAATCCATGGATCATTTTGGTGCAGCTTCAGAAACACATGTGGGAGGTTGAACATTTTATAGGTGGTAACTCGAAAATGTAAGAACTCGTCTAGCCTCATTTTACAGGTATCGAATGGTACCAAATCTATGTAGGGATTTTATGTGCTTTCCGTCTCTGTAAACAAGACCAACCGCCTTTTAGTAAACACCAGTAGGGTATAGGGCTAGTCGTTATATTCTCATTTTCCAAGAATAGAAGAATTTCGACTAAATCTAATTGATATAATTTTCTGGTATTTTTCGAGACCTCAAAGACTTTTCTTCCTCAAAAACCGGCAACAGCGCGCCATAGCCGAGGCATTTGCGCCATACCCGCGGTGCGCGCAACGCGCTGGCTAGTCAGTGCGGTGCAGCAACGCAGCACAAATCGTGAATGAAACAATTGACGCTCAATCAAAACACGCAGGATTCGCGGCCTGCTAGACCGCGATAAAAAATCCTTTGATCTTCGAAACGCGTGTGTGACAGGTGGTGAATTTGAGTGCTAAGATGGGCACCACTTTGAAGCTATACACAAAGGTTGGTTTTACGGTTTTTCGGCGATTTTTTTTTCAATATTTACCATACATGATATAATAATGTGCGAGGGATGTGAACCAAATATATCCTACTGTACTAGGTTGTGTCAGATAACAGCTGTTGCGAACAGCTCTTATCTGTAATATTTATCGAATTATGGATCATATAATCTAGCGTCCTTGAGCTGTCAACCTAATTTTCGCTTACGTAGTTAGGTCATTGTGCAGTAGGTAGTCCTACATGACCCCGTTTTGCATTGGGGTAAGAACTAAGAAGGCACATTTTGATTCAGAAATAAGTAATCAATTTGTCGACAAATCCTTGAATATTTCTACGTAACTAATGGTATCAATATAAAGGTGTATTATAATTTTTCAATCCCTTCTTCAGTGGAATGTACAAGGTCAAAGGAGAAATCTCAGAAAATATACAAGATTATTATTTTTGATATTCAGGACTTTTGAAAACAGCAAAAAAAAATATTTTTTTTCAGAATGTTGACCCCTTTGAAAATTTCCATTTAACTAAGCCTTAAAATTGTCAAACAGCTGTAAAATAAACTGTTAGTTTGAGAACCGGTTAAAACTACTCTGATTTTTTCTTATTACTCCGACGCCACAGAAGCGATTTAAAAAATCACACAGCATTACCTTTTTTGACTCCACATACTGCTCCCCAAATTGCATTAAAAGCGTTGCATCCGTTTCCGAGATTTCGAGGCTGGAAAAGACCAGCGGAAAGGTCGACAGACCAACAAATATGAAACACCAGAAAAACTTTTTTTCAAATGTCCATGCATGGAAACTAACAAGAAAAACTTGTCAAAGTTACAGCTCTCATTTTTGCTGAATATTTACAAAATCCCCAGTAGTTCGTGATATGTTATATACCTATCACAAAAAGGGCGTGTAGAAAAAGATATATGACCAGAGGACGAATTTCGGAAATCTCAAACAAGAAATTTGAGAAATGTTTGTTTCTAAGTTTTTTTTTATAAATAGCTCCGCCGCCATTGGACCAATTTTCAAAAAAAGTTTTTCGGATCCTGCCATGATGATAAAAACTATCATTAAAATATTATCAAACTCCAAACATGTGTCAGACACAGTATGGGAATGGTTTTGGTAAAATTTTTTTAGAAATATAGTATGTTCGACATCTCGCCACGTAGGTCAAAAGTGTTCATATCATTTACATGATTCCCATGAATTTATTTGTACTGCAACCTCTGCGTCAGTTTGTGTGTAAGCACGCTCCCCAAATGATAACAACTGTTGTTTTGCTGTATCTTGATGGTCATTAACAAGGACAATCTTATTGCAACAACGAGTATAATAGTAAACATTGATTTATCATTTCGTTTTGAATCACTCCTTTTTGTATAATATTAGACTGCTATCTAATCAAAGTAGTCGCTGATAAGATGTTATATGCAGATATAAAGATGCTTGATTGAGAACAATTGAATTTCAGGATTTGAATCGAAAATTACTAACTGCATCTCATATATATATATATATATATATATATATATATATCAAGTTATATATATATATATAACACTAATCTTTTCAAAGTAGATTTCTAATATATAATATAATCAAAAAAAGTACATTAACAGATTTAAAAACTAAAAAGATTAAAGAACAATCATTTATATGCATATAAAATCTTCCACAGAATAGAGAGGTTTACCAATAAAATAGTTTTTCAATTTCACCTTAAAGACACTTAAGCTTTTTATCCTTTTAAGATCTTCAGGTAATTTATTAAAGATTCTTGGGACCAGGATTTTGGGAAACATGCAGCAAAGTTTGTATTCTTAAAAGGTACATGTATATCGAGTTGCTATCGTGTATTGAATATTGATACCACGTACACCTTTATTTAGATTGAAATTTTTTTGTTGAGTAAAATGTAGATTGCCAGTTCGTAAAGAAATAGTCCAGACAGTGTAAGAATTTCCAATTTTTGAAGGCCCAAAAGTACTTGATGAGTATTAGCTGAAGAACCCCAAAAGCGTAGCGCATCGCGCAGACAATACACAATTTGTGCATAATAGGACATCAATAACTGGTTTTCATTAAGAGCTGATCTGATGTTCTCAAACTTGTTGCTTACATGTTCACAATGCTTTTGGAAACTAACTTACTCATCCAAGTAAAGCCCCAAAAACTTCGTTTCTTCATTAGTATTAAGAGTACTGCTATTTAAAGTTAAGTTAATCGATATTAACGATCTTTGAGGGTTGTGAAACCTTAAAATTGACGATTTTTGACTATTCAAATGGAGCTAGTTGCCGTTTTACCAGTCATTGATGCTGTTGAGTAGGGTGTTGCCGATCCTCGTTGAAGTTCCATTTTCTTTATCTGATATAATAATTGAGGCATCTTCGCGTATAATGTAAAATGAGCTGTAGTGCAATATAGCTCAAGGGTATTAATATACAGAGAGAAAGGTACCGGTTTTAGTACAGATCCCTATGGGACGCCTACGTTTACAGTTGTCCTACCTGACATCGCCTGTTTCCATGGTGGGCTAACTTCAGACAGAATTCGTTAATCAGTGATATTACGATTACCAAGTGTAGTCTATGTATCAGCAAATTGTGGAAAGTAGCTTATCTGATTCTGCTCCCGTGCCTTCGGTCCCACGAAAACAGCCGAACCATTCCAACGCACCTGATTGCCTAAAATTGAATTGAAAAAAATTAATGACGATTTCACTAAATTTCAGGCTTATATTGATTTTTTTCTGTGACAGACAGCAGTCAAGCTCTTAGTAATTGAGAACTAAATTCAGTAACATTTTTTTTACAACGTAATTATGTATAAAATTTCGTATTCTGACAAACGGCATGCAAAACAAAAAAACCCGTACAAGTGCATTTTATTTATACACTGTACTTTACTTTTTGATTAAAATGACGAACTGCTATTAAAGACAACACATTTTACAGTGCCTGAGAATAATGGTGCTGAAAATAGCCAGTATATTGATCTACATTTTAAATATTGAACTAAACCATTCAACTACCAGCTAGTCAAATCCTAAGAAACAATTGGCGTCAAATAGGTTGAATCTGCACTTTCCACGCAACGCTGTCATCAATCCATGAAGAATTTTATTCGGCACAAGCTTGTCCCTCAAGAAAAAAGTTGGCTATGAATACAAAGGAATTAAATGGATTATGTCAGTCAAACAAGTTCCTTCTTTCAAAGCTTAATAAAACTCGTATGAATCAGAAAAATTTTATTTGTTTTTAAAATGTAAAGTTTTGTTTTAGATAGTTTTTACGATCAAATCGGAAAATGTGACGTAACCCATCTTTCATACATTGAGTAAACCGATTTCTGACGTTTGTCAAGATTGTTCTCCGCACAGAGTGCGTTATTTTGCAATTTCTTCCTGGGCGTTGGTTTTCAAATACTATAGGGTCCCTGGACGGTTCTCATAAACATGGTATTTCAAAAAAGCCTATAGAAAAAAAATCACAAGGGGCCAAACCGGTAGAGCGGGCCGGCCACTCCAAACCACCCCTAATTGAGATAATGCGCTGACAAAACAGCCATCGATATTCTTAAAGTATGTGCCGTTGCACCGTTTTGTTGGAAGCTAATGTCCCCTAACTCATTTAAAAATCCTGCAATATATATATATATATATATATATATATATATATATATATCAACATACCGGTCCGAATTCACTGTGACTGTAACTTCATTTTCCTCTAAGAAGCAGGGACCAATAATTTCAGCTGATCAAAATGAACACCTCACTGTGAGTTTAGGTGAATGCAAAAGCCTCTAGTGCAATTTTCGAGGATTGGTGTCAACCCAGTAGCGCATGATCTGTTTCTTGACACAAATAAAAGTATAAGGTCTTGCTTCGGACAAAAAGGTAGAAGTATAAGCATATCCTTGTTTTCATATTCATAATGATTACCTTATACTCGCGAGGATATCCTCCAAGAAGAAGTAAAAGGTTGACTGGTATTTGTATCTTGAGCGACATGTCCTGACTTGTTCCAGCTTGTACTTGACGTGGGAGTTCGTTCACTCAGCATCACTGGCTGTTGTACTCCAGTGCTTACTCAGACCGTCCCGTATTTTTACTGGATACATTTTTTTATCAAATTAATAAGAATGTCATCCTCAAGTGATGATGAAACTATAGAAAATAATTACAACGACCTGCAGTTCATCGCAGATGAAATTGACATTGCTCCCACTATTTTGCAAAAGTCACAAGTTCCAAAAATAAAAATGAGAATGAACGATGCCTTGAAGAAGATGTTGAAAAAATAAGAATCAACAGAGAAATACGAAACTGAGGAAACCAAAGGGTTAACTACAAAAGAACTGCAACGTCTATTGCTATTACAGCAGTACCAAACAAGTATTTTACAACAAGAATATTATAAAACGAAATAAGAAATGATGCAGCGTCAGAAGCCACCTGTAACTTATGATGTTCACGAAAACAAAACTTATTATAACTTATAAATACACTTTAATCAGTAAAACTATTTGTTATAATACTCATGTTTCTTCTTATTTGTTGACCTAGTTGGCGGAGAGGAAGTTCGTCATTCTCATGATTTCCTTCATCTTCATCTGGGTCTTGTTCAACTAACTTAAAGTCAGGATCGCTTAAGCTCTTCGCAACATTATGGAGTACAATACAAGCAATAATTATTTTCGGCACATTTTGCAACTTTACGCGGCAAACATACTGTAGGTATAGGAAACCGGCATTTCAGTTGGCCGAAACAGCGTTCAGTTATAACTATTTCTTGTTTTAAAAGCTTACTATAATTTATTTCTACACCTGGAGTAAGATTTCTGAAGAGAGTTATAAGGCATGGCTCAATACCATAACCATCATCGCCTAGTAGTACAACATTTGCTTTATGTATTAGTTGTGATCTAGTCTGTGAATTTCTCCTTATTCTGGAATCATGCACTGATCCAGGCCAACTGACATCAACACTTGTG